GAGCAGGGCTACAATGAAGAGCAGGGCTACAATGAAGAGCAGGGCTACAATGAAGAGCAGGGCTACAATGAAGAGCAGGGCTACAATAAAAGTGCCAAGGCCTACAATGAAGAGCAGGGCTACAATGAAGAGCAGGGCTACAATGAAGAGCAGGCCTACAATGAAGAGCAGGCCTACAATGAAGAGCAGGGTTACAATGAAGAGCAGGGCTACAATGAAGAGCAGGGTTACAATGAAGTGCAGGCCTACAATGAAGAGCAAGGCTACAATGAAGAGCAGGGCTACAATGAAGAGCAGGGCTACAATGTAGAGCAGGGCTACAATGAAGAGCAGGGCTACAATGAAGAGCAGGCCTACAATGAAGAGCAGGGCTACAATGAAGAGCAGGGTTACAATGAAGAGCAGGGCTACAATGAAGAGCAGGAATACAATGAATAGCATTGGTGCAATGAAGAACAGGCCTACAATGAAGAGCAGGGCTTCAATGAAGAGCAGGGCTACAATGAAGAGCAGGGCTGCAATGAAGAGCAGGACTACAATGAAGAGCACGGCTGCAATGAAGAGCAGGGTTACAATGAAGAGCAGGGCTACAATGAAGAGCAGGTCTACAATGAAGAGCAGGCCTACAATAAAGAGCAGGGCTACAATGTAGAGCAGGGCTACAATGAAGAGCAGGCCTACAATGAAGAGCAGGCCTACAATGAAGAGCAGGGCTACAATGAAGAGCAGGTCTACAATGAAGAGCAGGGCTACAATAAAGAGCAGGGCTACAATGTAGAGCAGGGCTACAATGAAGAGGAGGCCTACAATGAAGAGCAGGCCTACAATGAAGAGCAGGGCTACAATGAAGAGCAGGGTTACAATGAAGAGCAGGGCTACAATGAAGAGCAGGGCTACAATGAATAGGGCTGCAATGAAGAGCAGGCCTACAATGAAGAGCAGGGCTATAATGAAGAGCAGGGCTACAATGAAGAGCAGGGCTACAATGAAGAGCAGGGCTACAATGAAGAGCAGGGCTAAAATGAAGAGCAGGGCTACAATGAAGAGCAGGGCTGCAATGAAGAGCAGGGTTACAATGAAGAGCAGGGCTACAATGAAGAGCAGGGCTACAATGAAGAGCAGACCAACAATGAAGACCAGGGCTACAATGAAGAGCAGGGCTGCAATGAAGAGCAGGGTTACAATGAAGAGCAGGGCTACAATGAAGAGCAGGGCTACAATGAAGAGCAGGCCTACAATGAAGAGCAGGGCTCCAATGAAGAGCAGGTCTACAATGAAGAGGAGGGCTACAAAGAAGAGCAGGGCTACAATGAAGAGCAGGGCTACAATGAAGAGCAGGGCAACAATGAAGAGCAGGGCTACAATGAAGAGCAGAGCTACAATAAAGAGCAGAGCTACAATAAAGAGCAGAGCTACAATAAAGAGCAGAGCTACAATAAAGAGCAGAGCTACAATAAAGAGCAGGGCTACAATAAAGAGCGGGAGCTACAATAAAGAGCAGGGCTACAATAAAGAGCAGAGCTACAATAAAGAGCAGGGCTACAATAAAGAGCAGAGCTACAATAAAGAGCAGGGCTACAATAAAGAGCAGAGCTACAATAAAGAGCAGAGCTACAATAAAGAGCAGAGCTACAATAAAGAGCAGGGCTACAATAAGGAGCAGAGCTACAATAAAGAGCAGAGCTACAATAAAGAGCAGGGCTACAATAAAGAGCAGAGCTACAATAAAGAGCAGGGCTACAATAAAGAGCAGAGCTACAATAAAGAGCAGAGCTACAATAAAGAGCAGAGCTACAATAAAGAGCAGGGCTACAATAAAGAGTAGAGCTACAATAAAGAGCAGAGCTACAATAAAGAGCAGAGCTACAATAAAGAGCAGGGCTACAATAAAGAGCAGAGCTACAATAAAGAGCAGGGCTACAATAAAGAGCAGGGCTACAATAAAGAGCAGAGCTACAATAAAGAGCAGAGCTACAATAAAGAGCAGAGCTACAATAAAGAGCAGGGCTACAATAAAGAGCAGAGCTACAATAAAGAGCAGAGCTACAATAAAGAGCAGGGCTACAATAAAGAGCAGAGCTACAATAAAGAGCAATGCTACAATAAAGAGCAGAGCTACAATAAAGAGCAGAGCTACAATAAAGAGCAGAGCTACAATAAAGAGCAGGGCTACAATAAAGAGCAGGGCTACAATAAAGAGCAGAGCTACAATAAAGAGCAGAGCTACAATAAAGAGCAGAGCTACAATAAAGAGCAGGGCTACAATAAAGAGCAGAGCTACAATAAAGAGCAGGGCTACAATAAAGAGCAGAGCTACAATAAAGAGCAGAGCTACAATAAAGAGCAGGGCTACAATAAAGAGCAGAGCTACAATAAAGAGCAGAGCTACAATAAAGAGCAGGGCTACAATAAAGAGCAGGGCTACAATAAAGAGCAGAGCTACAATAAAGAGCAGAGCTACAATAAAGAGCAGAGCTACAATAAAGAGCAGAGCTACAATAAAGAGCAGAGCTACAATAAAGAGCAGGGCTACAATAAAGAGCAGAGCTACAATAAAGAGCAGGGCTACAATGAAGAGCAGGGCTACAATGACTGTACTAAGAAATTACTTAGTAAGCGTAAAGGGACTATTATAATTATTATTCTTAAATTCTAAGGAAGCAATCAAGTTCAAACCATACCACGGGCGGGAATAGAACCCGCGGTCAGAGAGTCCCAAAACTCCAGACCGTCGCGTTAGCCACTGGACCAGCTAGCCACAATAAGATTCGCCCAAGTAGGTATATTTCTACACCATAGGAAGGTTATCACAGGCACCACTGTGACCACAAATGCAAGTTTTTACAGACTCTCAGATCGCGGGTTCTATCCCCGCCCGTGGTATGGTCTGTTTGCAATCGTGTCATTACGATTTCGTGAGTCAATCAAGTTCAGTCTAAGAAAGGGAATTACCCTGACGGGTTTAGTGCTTCTTTATTTTTAATAATAATAATAATAATAATAATAATAATAATAATAATAATAATAATAATAATAAGAGGAAGAAGAAGAAGAAGAAGAAGAAGAAGAAGAAAAGGGAACTTAAGATCAATTGTATTGATCAAGAGTCCTTCACCGTCATCATGGAATCTCCGTGAAGGGAAATCAATTATTATTATTATTATTATTATTATTATTATTATTATTATTATTATTATTATATTTAAGGGGAAGTGCAATCACGTAGGTTTAGCAATACCTGGGGAATGAGACACACACAGTGTGACTTTGTCAATGGTCCAAGCCGGACCGAAACGTCGTCGTAAGCTTCTCTCTTTTATGTGCGGGTTATTTGTGTATCGTTCCAGTCACGGTATTGTGCCTTTTTGTTATTTATTTCTGTGGAATGAGAGGCAATCAGGTTCGATCTAAGGATGGGTAGGAAAATTCATTTCCATTGATCAAGGACCTTCCTTCATGAATGAATGAAAAAACTTCAGTTCAAAGAACGAGAAATGAGACGGAATTAGACGACAAAAGTAATACAGAACCTGAACAACCTGTCTTACCCCGTCTATCATAGAATCTTGGTTCAGAGGACATCTACAAGACCAACTTCACGGCTACTACAACTAACCCATACCTTTTGGCAGGACCTACTTCCACTGGGAAATCCCGCCTACCAGTGATTATGCCCTCGTCTGCTGCACGTCCCTGTCCACTGACGCCTATATAAACGCCAGTCTCCTTGCCTTTGCTCCAGAATCTCTACCACCACGGTGCTCTTAACACCAACTCCAAGGCTGAGGGACTGATTACCTCATCTTTTGTATATAGTTCTACCGTTTTCTAATTATGTCCTAGAATTTGTATTGATAAAGCCACTGGATGGCGAAACGTCTACAATAAAAATAACCAGATGTTGCACATGTGTCTTAACTTTCATAACTAAGCTAAACTCGTGCCATAATCTCCTTCCCAGTACGCGATCCCTGGCACTCTCACCGTGAGTGCCACCATCCAATTCATCTATCTCCATTACTATGCAATTTCGCCTTTCCCATTCCCCAGAGTTTTAAACCTAACCGTAACTTCCTTCTATATAAGCACTTTTCACCTCTGTATTCATTTTATTTAGACTTCACAATCTGTGAAGTGTAAACAAAATGTGAGAGTTATTTTAAAACATTTTCTTAGCCTCTTCTCCTTCGTGTCGGCTAAATATCGCAGTGGTTCAGTATTCTTGTTTACCAAGCATGAAATTATTTCGTCAGAAGGTATTTAGAATGGAAACATCCTCACCCTATTTTTCCTCTTCATAATGGTTCTAATAGTCTCCTGCAGACTGACCAGTGAACTGAACTTCTGGCTTCTGAATAATGGCATTCCCTGATAGTGAATTTCTAAAAAGGCTCTGACACATATCTTCAAACCTTCTAAATGTGAAATGATTTCTTCCAGCCAACCAAATATTTCTGCAGATAAATCCATCCTGCTAGAAGACTCAACCATAGCTTCTAGTCACAGCATTCTGGGGGAAACTCCTCGTGCGATCATGCCACAATAAAGGAGAAAAAGTCTTTATGACCTGAAGAAGGTGGAAAAGATAGTAGGTAATTTCAGTACCATTGATGTCTTTCTCCTCTCAAAGTGCTTCACTCTACACAAGTTAGACTGTGTCCTGATATATGCAACATCTTTTAACAGTCTAACACCAGTGAACACCAAAGAGTCAACATTCAGGAGAACTCAGACACTCTCCGGAGGACTATCAGTGGTAGTTCATACCACTGGGTTTAACGGTGCCAATTTTTGTGAAGGAGCAATTCAGCGGGATACACTCGCATCCTTTTAAAACAGACGAACATTTTCTAAATAGTATTGTTTTAACATTCTCTGATCCTGAAAAACCTTTAGCAACATTCACACCCTTTTAGCGCATCTCTTCCCTAAGATGCACCTGCTACCTCTTCTAACTTTCAAAGTCCCTTGCCACCTAACTAAGGCCTGACAGTTGTCACCTGATCGTTCGCTGCTGGCAGAGAAGGTTGGGGAGGCGAGGCTCTGTGGGGAGGAGTAAGACACCCGCGTCACGTGATCGAACTGCGCTGAGAGGAAGAAGGAGGTGAAGGAAGGCGTGCCCACCGTGTACGAGATCTCCAGTGGTGCCAGCAAGTGTGGCGGCGCTGTACTGCCCCCGCACCCGCATACCCGCAGCAGTCGCTCGCATATCACATACAGCAGCTGGAGTAAGAAGACCAAGGTAAGTAACAGCTACGAAGAAGTAGGTTCATGTTATTCCTAGCACTAGAGGAAGGAACATTTCAGTGCCAGGTATGGTGGTAGTAAGCGAGGAGAAATAGTGTCTGTGTCTAAGATGTGCATGAGAAACTCACCTTGGGAATGTTCTTGAGAGTGCGAGCCTCGTAGCCGTGAAGGACGATGCGTTGCCTGTTCAGGTACTGTTGCAGGGTGAACTCCTGGTTCCTCTTCTCTTTCACGAAGTCCCTATGACAGCAGTGCGATAAGTCAGTTTAAATATATGTCTTACCGAATAAGACAAATCGGCAATTTAGGTTAAAAACCAATGGCTACTTTGCTGAATATGCTTAGTAAAAATTTGTGAATGCAAAAAAAAAAAAATCTTCTCAAATTAGTCTGCACATATATATATATATATATATATATATATATATATATATATATATATATATATATATATATATATATATATATATATATATATATATATATATATATATATATATATATATATATATGTATGTATGCATAAATAGTAGGTTGTCAGACAGCAACCGCCCAGTGAGGTACTATCGTCCTGCCAAGTGAGTGTATAACGGAAGATTGTAATTGTTTTACATGATGGTAGGATTGCTGGTGTCTTTTTTTCTGCCTCATAAATGTGCAAAATTTCAGGTACGTCTTACTACTTCTATACTTACACTTAGGTTACACTACACATGCATTTACAAGCATATATATACACACTACTCAGGCATTTCTTCTATTTTCTTATTAGGTCTTGTTCTTGTTTATTTCCTCTTATCTTCATGGGGAAGTGGAACAGAATTATCCCTCCTTTAACCCAAGCGTGTCGTAAGAGGCGACTAAAATGCCGGGAGGAAGGGGCTAGTAACCCCTTCTCCTGTATACATCACTAAAGTTAAAAATAAAAACTTTTCTTTTTCTTTTTGAGCCACCTTGCTTCGGTGGAATACGGCCGGTTTCTTGAAAGGATATATTATATATATATATATATATATATATATATATATATATATATATATATATATATATATATATATATATATATATATGTGTGTATGTGTGTGTGTTGTGTGTGTGTGTGTGTGTGTGTGTGTGTGTGTGTGTGGTGTGTGATGTAGTGTGTGTGTGTGTGTATGTGTGTGTAGTGTGTATGTGTGTAGTGTGTGTGTGTGTGTATGTGTGTGTGTGTATGTGTGTGTGTGTGTGTGTGTGTGTGTGTGTGTATGTGTGTGTGTGTGTGTGTGTGTGTGTGTATGTGTGTGTGTGTATGTGTGTGTATGTGTGTGTGTGTGTATGTGTGTGTGTGTGTGTGTGTGTGTGTGTGTGTGTGGTATGTGTCTGTGTGTGTGTATGTGTTGTGTGTGTGTGTGTGTGTGTATGTGTGTGTGTGTGTGTGTATGTGTGTTGTGTGTGTGTGTGTGTGTGTGTGTGTGTGTGTGTGTGTGTGTGTGTGTGTGTGTGTGTGTGTGTGTGTGTGTGTGTGTCTGTATGTGTGTTTCTGTGTGTGTGTGTGTGTGTGTGTGTGTGTGTGTGTGTGTGTCTGTGTGTGTGTGTGTCTGTGTGTGTGTGTGTCTGTGTGTGTGTGTGTGTGTGTGTGTGTAGAAAACAACAACTGTGAAAAGAAGGTGAGAAGAATACACGATAATGTACACTTGGAAAATCCTAGAGGGATTAGTACCAAATATGTACACGAAAATCATCCCTACGAAAGCAAGACTCAGCAGGCGGTGTAGCATCCCTGCACTCAAAAGCAGGGGAGCCACGAGTACGCTAACAGAAAAAGTAAGTGTCAGGGGCCCAAGACTGTTCAACTGCCTCCTAGCATACATAAGGGAGATTACCAATAGACCCCTGGCTGTCTTCAAGAAGTAGGTGGACATGCACCTAAAGTTAGTACCCGACCAGGTAGACTCTGGTTCATACGTCAATTTACATGCGGCCAGCAGTAACAGCCTTTTTAATCAAGCCCTGATCCACCGCGACGCTTGGTCACAGGCCGGGCCTCGGAGGCGTTGACCCCCGACACCCTCTCCAGGTATACTCCAGGTAGAAGGTTTGTAAAGCTGAGATATCACCTCACATACATTACACACATCCCAGGATGATGCTGGTAGGAGCGTCATGGACCTCTCACGCATTGCTTAACTTTTGTTAATTGTAAATGAATCTAATTTGGATAACCCGAAACTTAAATTCATATTAAAATCAATCCTATTTTTTATGAAGCTCGATTCAATTATATTTCTCCCAATAACTGACCTGCTTGATACAACATTCTCGGCCTTTCGAAAATCAATTGTGTGAGTAAAATCTCTTACATAAATAAACAGAGCATTAGACTTGTCCAGTTCTAATGCTATATTTATGTTATATAATCTAAGTTCAAGGCTTTTTTTCAGTTTGACATTAATAAAATTTATTACATTTTTTTACAGGGAATCTTATAGACACAGCCATTAGTTTATATAGCGCAGACAGGTGAGGCAAAGGAACTGGAGACAGTAACCATGAAAATATCCACAAATAGAAGCAGGTCATATCCTCTTCAGAGGATATTTGGCCTATTTTTGTGTCATCAGCGAATCCACTCATGTCACTTGTTATTCTCTCATCGAGTTCAGTAATGTAAATTATCAGGAATGAGACACGTGCAGCACCTGAGGATGTCGCCTTCCAGTGGCTGCATCAGAGAGAATATGTGAATACTGTAGATTAGAATAGAAGGTGAGGTAATCAATTCTGGGCCTAGAAACCTGTGTTCAGTACCTTAGTCTTGAGAAATGTGAGGTAATGTAGGAAGATGTACTCTAATATACTCTAGTCAGATGAGATGCAGCAATCGAAGACACGTCATTGGTGAGCGAATCCTACCAGTAGAAGAAGGTCATGATCAAGTGTTGGGCCAGAGGTCAGCAGATAGGTCGTAGGAGTTATCCTTTGTACCAAGATTTCAAGGTGTTGCTGTGCCAGGTAATAGGGCGATAATGGTATACATTATTGATGAGACAGAGAAATGGACGCAAGTGAAACACCAGGATATCTTTATTTAAAGACCCGTTTCCAGGCTGAGGGACTGATTACCTCATCTTCTGTTCCCTATATGCAGATATGCAACGTTCAGGGACTGATTCACGAACTCTTAATAACACTGGCTGACACACCTCCCATGAATAAAACAGGCCATAATCCATTAGCAGGACAAGTTCAATTATATGCAAGGTAAGAGCAGGCAAACCTTTATGAAGGGATTCAGGGAAACAGATAGCTTGGGGAAAGTGATCACAAATCACTTAGTTTTAATATATCATGGAATTACCCAGATAACCGATTTCATAGGACTGAGAAATTACCTGGGTGGGCTAAACTGGGAGGACCTGACTATGGGTCAGGTAGGCGGTCATGGTTGCCAACATGACTTTTTCTAGAGCATAGTTCTGGCTGCCCAGACAACTTTTGTTCCGAATAGGGATATCAGATCTAACAGAAATAATCCCAAATGGATGAACAATAGATTAAAGCATCTCACTGGTCAAAAGAGAGGCATATATAGGCGTATCAAAAGATGGGATGGGCAGTAAAGAAATCAATATATTCAATTAAAGAGAGAAATAAAAAAAAAGGAATAAAAGCAAAAAGGGATTATGAGGCTAAGGTCTCAAGTGATTCGAAGACTAACCCAAAAGGGTAGTTTCAGGTATACAGAAGTAAGATTAGAGACAAGATAGGCCCACTTAAGAGTAACTCTGGTCAGATCACCGACAGTGATAAGGATATGTGTGAAATTTTCAATATTGCTTCCTCTTAGTTTTTACCCAGGAAAATACTATTGAAATTCCAGAAATAATAGATTATGTAGAACAGGACGATAAACTATGCACGATTGCGGTAACTAGTGATATGATCCTCAGACAAATAGAGAAATTAAAACCTAACAAATCCCCAGGCCCTGATGAACTGTTTGCAAGGGTGTTAAAGGAATGTAAAGAGGAACTTTGCATACCTTTGGCTAATCTTTTCAACATATCACTACAAACTGGCCTAGTGCCTGATAAGTGGAAAATGGCAAATGTAATACCTATTTACAAGGCAGGTGACAGGTCCTTAGCTTCGAACTATAGACCAATAAGCCTTATCTCCATAGTGGGAAAATTTATGGAATCAATAATTGCCGAAGCAATTATTAGCAATCTCGACAGGCAAAGATTGACTAATGAATCTCAATACGATTTTACAAAAGGGCGTTCTAGTCTCATAAATTTAAAAACTTTTTTCACTAAGGTGTTTGAGGAGGCAGATTGTGGTAATGAATATGATATTGTGCATATGGACTTCAGTAAGGCTTTCGATAAAGTTCCATATCAGAGGCTACTGAGGAAACTAAAGACACAGAGAATAGGAGGAGAAATTTTTTCCTGGGTAGAGGCATGGTTGGCAAATACGCAGCAGAGAGTTTGCATAAATGGGGAAAAATCAGAATGGGAGCACATCACAAGCGGTGTTCCGCAGGGGTCAGTGTTGGGCCCGTTGCTGTTGTTCACACTTTACATAAACGACATAGATGACGGAATAAATAGCGACATAAGCAAATTTGTTGATGACACCAAAACAGGGCGTCCAATTCCTTCTAATGAGGACGCTAGAGCACGACAAGAGGATTTATATAGACTGATGCAATGGTCGGAGAAGTGGCAGATGCAGTTTAATATAGACAAATGCAAAGTTATAAATGTGCCACATTTAAACTAAATAATGTAGATCTTAATACTAGTGATTGCAAAAAGGATTTAGGAGTTCTGGTTAGCATTAACCTAAAACCAAAACAACAGTGCATTAGTGTTCGCAATAAAGCTAACATATCTAGAAGTATAAATAATGTAAGTCCTCAGGTTGTTCTTCAACTCTATATCTTTGGTTAGGCCTTATTTAGATTATGCTGCACAGTTCTGGTCACCGTATTACAGAATAGATATAAATGCAATTGAAAACGTACAGAGGAGGATGACAAAGTTGATCCCATGTATCAGAAATCTTCCCTATGAGGACAGACTGAGGGCCCTCAATCTGCACTCTCTCGAAAGGCGTAGAATTAAGGGATGATATGATGGAGGTGTATAAATGGAAAACAGGAATAATTAGATAAAGGGGTTGTAAACAGCGTGCTGAAAATTTCCAGCCAAGACAGGACTCGCAGCAATGGTTTCAAGTTGGAAAAATTCAGA